ATTTATGAACCCGCCCCTGGTCGATGTAGTCCTGTAGAAACATGTGGCTGCAAAGAAAATGGCATATTTTATCATGTTGGTGAAGAAGTTCCTAATGATGATCCATGTCGTTCTTGTTACTGTGAAGATTATGGAAAAGTTTCTTGTAGGTTCTTAATGATGGAATGTTCAGATCCACAAGAAGGATGTGTTTATCAAAATGTTCCTGGTCAATGTTGTCCTGAGTTATCATATTGTGGCTGTATGGTTGATGGCACAGTGTATGATTTCGAATCCGAAGTTCCTAATGATGATCCATGCCTTTCTTGCTACTGTGATTTCAATGGAGAAGTTTCTTGTATGCAGAAAGAATGCTCATCTCCACCACCAGGATGCGTTTATCAAAGTGTTCCTGGTAAATGTTGTCCGGAGTTATCATATTGTGGTTGTATGGTTGATGGCACAGTGTATGATTTTGAATCCGACGTTCCTGATGATGATCCATGCAATTCTTGTTACTGTGATTTCAATGGAGAAGTTTCTTGTATGCAGAAGGAATGCTCATACCCACCACCAGGGTGTGAAAATGCTCAACCTTCTCCTGGTGTTTGTTGTCCTGATTATCAGGCACTCGGTTGTGAAACTGTAGAAACTCCAGAAATTCCAGCTCCATAAGTTGTCAAAGAGGATAATGAAATAAATCGATATGTTGAAATGAAAATATGATTTTTTTAAGTTTTTTTTTTGCTATTCTAATTGCAAAAATTTTGAATGTTTGTTTGGTTATATTGAAATAAAAAAATCTGCGTCAGGAAATGTTATTTTCATTTACTTAAATACCTTATTTTAAAATTTATAAGAATGACGACAAGTAGTTCATAAATATAACGGATGACAAAAACCACTAATAAAGACTCTAATTTGGACATTCAAGCAATCAGTTTATAAAGATGTAATGCGTGTTGAACTGTTTAAATGAATTTGACGTGTATTTACATATATACATATTCTGTTTTATCGAAAAACTTCTACATGACGACTCCATTAATTTCACCTGTAAAAACATTTGCAGAAAAAGATATCTTAAAGATCAACAGATATTAATGAGATCGTCTTGTTTTGTCTTGTATTTACAGTTTGAGAATTATTGAATATTGTTTCACTAATATCTTTTTTAAACTTCTAATTTTGTGTATTTTGATATTAGAGAAGCTTCATATTTGACGTTAACTACTCAGAGAAGTAAACAAGTAGCTAGAAAATTGTTATTTAAAGAAAAGTTTGTTTCTAACATCTTCTACTTCAAATTTGAACAGAACACTGAAAGACGAAGATACTATAGATATAAAAAAATATATTTTTAATGATAACTTGAACACTTGTGCGTTCAGGCATGTAAATAAGTGCAAAGTTGAAAACAACTACATATTTTAAGAAAAACAAACTCACTCGTGATGAGTTTTTATTCGTCATAGTTAAGGACCAGACTCGTGCCACACCACACTGATGTTGGTTAAAATGCTAATGTTTGTTTTGGGAATTCCATGTCAATGTTCTTTCAAAAAAGATGAAGTTTTTTGTTCCAGTAGTTTAGAAGTTATGAGAGTGCCTGATTCTCTTCAAAAAAGGGTGAAAGCTTTTAATGGCAAAAGAGAAGTTTTAACACGCATAGATATGCGTCATGATACTGGAAGGTCGTGTTTCGAATATGAAGTAAAGTTAGTTAAATCTTCATAATTTCTACATTTTCAGATTTCATTGAACATTAAAACTATCGGGGTTGGTAATTTAAAATAAATTTTTGTTCTCTTTTATCGCAATTTATCTAACAAGAATGACAATAAAGTTATCGATGACTTCAAGATTTTTATCTTAATGTTGATAATAATTAGCAAACTTCATGAACCAGTAATTATAATTTGTAAACAAAGTTGGTTAATTTCCTTCTTTGTAAATTATGATTTCTAGAAATTAGAGATCTGAAAGGATATGATAAATAAAATTGTATTAAGCTCATCAAAATTAAATTTGACTAATAAATAATAACAATTACGAATAAAAGTGACACTATTAGTTTGCATGTCATTTCATCAGTTCGGAGAAAGAGTAAAACATTCAAACTTGGATCCAGAAAAATATTTACCTAAACTTCAATCATCACAAAATATTATTCGATTTAGTCACAAAAGAAATTTTAATTCGATTTGTTATCCAAAAGTATCTTTGTGTGGTGAAATTAATTTCACTATAACTCACAAATATTCACACTTCGTTTTATTTTCAAACTCTATCTTAAACAAATTCTTGTAATCACCTTTCCAAACTTTAATTCTCGGCAGTAATCAATTCTTCTTAAATGCACAACTTTACGATAAATTGTTTTGTCCCATACTTAAACAGCAATTGGCAATCAAAATTTCAGGAACTTTCATTTTACAAATCACTTTAATGACAGTGATACGAAATATTGACCGATTATTTTCCTAAGTATTTAAATATGTATTGC